ACTTTGGACATGTTGTGAGGAGAGACCGGTCCTTGGAGAGGGACATCATGCTTGGGAGGGTGGAGGGACAGCACAGGAGAGGAAGGCCCTTTATGAGGTGGATTGATTCAGTGACTGGGATAATTGGGATGGGAGTGTCAGAGACGGTGCAATTGGCACAGGACAGAGCAGAGCTTAGGGCTGTTGTACATAGGGTTGCTATGGGTCGCAGGCGACTCAACGGCACATAACAACAACAACGTTATATATATATATATATATATAATCTCCTTGGTTGTTTGCAGTTTGTTCTTATGAGTACAATACACTAGTCTGTCAGTTTGCTGTACAGCAGTGATTTTCAGGTTGCTATGATGCTCAAAGCTATGCCAGCAGTATTTCAGATATCAGCAAGATCACCCATGGTAGGCAAGTTTCAAAAGAGCTCTCTGATTTAGATAGACTAAGACACAGGATTGATTGTCTATTTCTGAAATAACAGCCTTCAACAACTCTGTAATTGAGGGCCATTGTTAGATATAGTAGTGGAAGTAGGTTCCTTATGTTGGAAGACGTAAATGAGGGGAAACAGGTGCAAACATCCATTAATAATTAGAACGTGGAATATATGAAGTATGAAGGCTAGGAAAATTGGAAGTTATCAAACATTAAATGGAACACATAAAGATCAGCATCATAGGCATTAGTGAGATGAGACAGGCTGGTTGTATTAGCCACTTTGAATCAATCATGTGATGTTATGCCAGGAATGACAAATTAAGGAAGAATGGTAGTGCATTAATAATCAAAAAGAACACATCAAGATTACTCCTGGAATACAATGCTTAATGATAGAACACTACCCATACATCCACAATGAAGACCTATTAATACAACTATTATTCACACACCAACAATTAAGCCAAAAATGAGAAAACCAAGGATTCATACCAACTTTTTTATTCTTTTTTTCCCACTTTTAAAAAAAATAATTTTAATGAGCATTTACAGAGATTTTGGATTTCCATTCATTCATTGCTGCACCAATCCCTCCCCCCCCTCCACCCAGTTCGCTCCTCTCTTTCAAACATAAAAGAAACACTCCTTCCCTGGTACACAATCCCCACGCACCCCTCCTACTGCCCCAAGTACATTCCACTATGCAACCTTAATTGTGGACTCTTGTGATAACCATGAGACCCTATCACACATCGCTTTTAAATTATTTATTCCCTCATCTGCTT